CTACGCTCAGTAAGTTATTCGCAATTCCTTTCTCCTGTGTAAACGACATTAAGAAGTAATTTAAAAATAATTTTAAAAAAAGATAAATATCCGTCATTTTAAATTGCCATTTTGACTTTTAACTTACAGCTGCACCATCATTAAGTTGTAGAATGGTGAGATGTAGAGGAAAAAATACAAATCTGCAGTGTATGGATATTTGCAAATGTAAAATCCTGAACAAAGCGGAATATAGAACAATAGACCAAAACATCAGAGAAAATTCGAATTAATTGTAGAAAAGACTAAATTTTCTGAGTTTAACTAATAATGTTAGCATTCTATTATCATTTTTATACTTGTACAGTGGCTGGAACGTTATTGTTGACAAACCAATCGTGTAGAAACGTTCGTGTATCGTGAGTGATCGTTCGTTTAACGTGAAAGATCGTTCGTGTATCAGACTCAATCGTGTGCGTTTTTAATCGTGCGAGATCGTGCGTTTAGAATCGTGTAAATTTCGTTTTGTTAGTTTTTATCGGAATGTTATTTCTAAAATAAGCATTTTCCTTGTTTGGTTTTCTTAATTTATTAATTAAAATCAAAATAAAATGAAAAAGCGCAATTTACATAATAGAATGCAGAACGAACTAATTATTGCTCGTAAACAAGCAATATAGTAAGTCGTACAATATTAAGTTCTCGTCAAATAGCGCGATCAATTCTGTGATAAACCGTACTTAGATTTCTTACGCCTTTCTGAAAAATCTTATTTAATTATTATTTACTTCTGATTGTGGTCAAGATAATCTTGAAATCAATTCATTGAAAATAAATATTTTTTTTACAAAGAAATAAACATTTCTCAATGCTTACATAGCTAGTTACCCGACAAATATACATGCACACGTCATGCTTTTCGGGAGTTTTGATTATCTGTGTTTATCTCTTGAGCTTATTTGTAACTAATTAATTTTTAATTTCTGCAAATAAAAAAGTTGAATAATTCGCAAGTCTATCAGACATTGAATAAATGGAAACGAAAGGATAGAGTTTGTAATTATAATCTAAGTCATTCAATGCTGCCATTTGTGTTGAATCGTATCCCCCTTTCTGCATTGCATAATACCCAATTCAATCAAATTATACGACCCACATACATGAACATCGTCTAATAGAACGAACAAAATCCGTTATCCTTGATCAGAGAATTACCTTAGAAATAATTATTTTTAATCTGAAATATTAAGTCTTGCATATATTTAGTTACAGGAAATCATTTTCCGTTTTTTTTCAAAGTCTATGAAATAATAATTATATTGATAATTCTTTGAAATCTTAAATAAGTATTAAGCTTTATTTCGTTTTGAAAATATTAATTCCTAAATATTTTGAATTATTTTGAGTGAAGAAACGTGCGTTTGCGTTAACAATCGTGTAAGATCGTGTAACGTGTAGAATCGTGAACGTGAAAGATCGTTCGTGTAACAGGTTTAATCGTGCGTTAATCGTGCGGAATCGTTCGTGTAACGTGATCGTTCGTGTAAGTTGTCAACAATAACGTTCCAGCCACTGTATTACACTCAGTGAGATATTCATACATTATTTCTCCTTTTTGAACGATATTAAGAGAAAATAAAATTAAGACTATTTACTCCTATTTCAATGAGTGAATCCGCAGGAACTACATATCCGTATACTATACTTGACCCAAATTGGCAAAAAGAAAATTCAATTAGGACTGTTAATTTTCTTTGACAATCAACTTATTTCTGAACATTTTGTCTCCCTTTAGACATTGCTAGTACGTACACCATGTTTGTTTTATCGAATCAACTAGGAGACATAAAGTCCATGTGCAGGTGTTTTATTGCTCATTTAGTGAAGATGCTTTGTGTCTAAGAGATTAATTATGATGGTCAAGGACGTGTCTTCCAAACCTGTAAAATTCATGGTCCTTTGCTTTTGGGTTCTGTAGTAATTTGTATTTCATAGTGCGTTTGAAATGTTATATCTCCAGCTTCTTCTTTGGAACTGCTGTTCATATTTCAACTCGTCTTAGCAAATAGCTTTTATAGTTGACGGAATACTACAAAATTGCATCTTTCATGATACCTGTCCCCTCAGAGCATATAAATACCTAACCTTACCTTGCAAGCTTACTTTCTTCTTTACGTCATAGAGCAATTTAAAGCTGGTAATTCCCGAGACAATTGACTTGTCTTCTTTTTTTATTTCTACTATTAATAACAAGACTTTTTCACTTTAAAATTGCCGAAATTAATGGCACTTGGTCCCACCTCTGATGTTTTGGAGGTCCTTGTTTGCTGCGCTCCTATTATGTAATATTTTAATGGATTTTTTTCAGCTCGAATAATGCTTGTTATCTCCACATATTTCGTATAAAATTGTAAATTATGTTTTAAAAAAGGAATCAGCTCTTAGTGATAGATAACATTTGAAAGCATTTAAGGAAGGGATACTTCATGGCAGTTTTTGCTGTAAGATGTTTTCTCTTTTTCATTTAATTTGAATAAACACTTTTTTATCATTAAGTAGAATCCTTATCTTTTATGATATTAATCAATTATTCATTATTGACTTTTGATGAGGTCTACTCGAAACAATACGGGCCTGGTAAGGTCGCGGGTTTGCTGACGTCACAATTGGATTCGATGTAAAAAGCTTACTACGTTTACAGTATCAAACTACAAACAAGCAAAAAGTCATCATAAAACCATAAATCATAAAATAAAACAAACATTAAAGCTTGTTTTGTCTGTAAAAATATTTATTTAATAATGCATTAAAAAATAAAGGATTAATTAATATCTAATCAGTACTTAGTGTTTCATTGAAAAAAGTGTGAAAATTTATGTAAATTATGACAATGTTTACATGAATATTTATTGTCAATCAATGAAAAATTGAAAATGCGGATAAGACAATTTTTATTTTCAGTGAATTGTTGATTACATTGTGATTCTGAGACGTACGTAAATAATGACGTCGCACTAACGTTATATATAACGTCTTAATGAAATTATATACGTTTGTTACAAATTTGTAAAACTTTAAAGTTTTTTGCGAGAAAATGAGCGAGAACACATATTAATTTTTTTTAATAGATCGATTCGAAATTGAAATTTATCTCAGATTCATCGTATTGAGTAATACAAAATTCGTCTGCGCCGTTTTTATATTAGAAGCATGGTTTTGAAATGCGTTTACCGGTGAGAAAGGCGCATTTACTATATATTTCATTGTAATAGCGTCACCAGTTCTCATCAACATTAGTGCCTTTGAAAGACGATAACAATATAACCACGCAGACGAATCTCACAAAAATTTCAGAAAGTAAAATTTCAATCGAGAGGATTAAGATGACAAATTTTCGGAGTATCTTTTCAGGCAGACAGTAAACCCCATCGTCGGAAACCCACGGTCGGTCTTGCATCTCTTACCTCAGAGAAGCGAGACCGACCGTGGGTTTCCGAGACAGTAAACCCGCGATCTACCTTAAATGATCAGGAATTTTACAACACTTGAGACGCTTTAGTTATTGTTTCCATCAAATATAAACACTCATAATATAATGTGTTGTGTAACAACACATAATGTTTATATTTCTACAGCTTTAAAACTAGTTAAAAATGAAAAACAATATTAGAGAACAATAAATACTTTTTTTGGTAAAGTAGTTTATTCTCCTCTGTATTGGCGTCTGCCATGTTTACATTCACAGTTATACATGTTTTAGAAAAGGCAATTTGATTGGTCGAAAATATTCTAGGCAAAGCAATGGTTGGTCAGTAGGGAAGACCCGAATAAACCTCCTGGTTCTTCATTTGAGGTGAACTCACTCTGAGTTCATCTCAGAAAAGAACGTCTAGACAAATCAGAAATCACCAAAATTACTTATTGTTTTATAAAATGATATAATCCCTAGGTCTCTGGTTTATATCCAAAATTGAAGAAATAATAAAGTCAAATATAGTTAAGATTTAAAGCCTTTCAATGATATTGTCAAATATAAACCTAAGCATCTTTTTAATATCAACTTCATAGTACTAATTGTGCAATCAAAATGTTTTTTTTCAAACGACCATTGAGAAGGTAAGCAAATCATGTATCTTTATTTTAAATTAAGAATGACCTAACTTACTATTCAGGATTTTGTTACATCGTCTAAACAAATGTATCTTCTTCCACTAAATATCTTACGAATAAGATACGAATTTGTCAAATCTGTCAAACCTCACTTTTTTTCTAAAATATTATACATGTGTATAGAGAGTATTACATACTAAAATCCATATCATATATCATATCAGCCCCAGTGGTTCCATATCAGCCCGAGGGCTGATGAGACATGTGTTATGGATTTCAGTATGTAGTATTCTATTTATCATACATTTAAAATACTTAATATGCGAATTCACATATGGACATTGAAGAATGTTTCGTACTTGTCTATGACATTTTTCTTTAAAATCTAAAAGAGCCAATATCAGGTAACTGAAAAAAAATAAAGACCACGAATTTCATTAAAGAATTATTTTACATGAATATTAAAATAAAATCAAGTAAATTAACTTCTAAACTTTATACAAACGTTACTTCCGGTTTGATATGGATTTTTGGCCCGTCGGTCCAATACGTGATATGGATTTTTCGGACCGATCCGTGACCCGTATCACACCGTGCAGAATCGGTGTATTTACTACTAATTATATGATAAACATTTATATCTAATGTAAGAGATATATAAGATTTCTTTGTATTTCTTAGAAATACTACTGATTTCATTCTTGTAGGAAAATTAGAAAATCTTGATCTTAGTCTTAAGGGTTTTGTTTTGTTTTGTTTTGTTTTTTTTTTTGGGTTTTTTTTTTTTTTTTTTTTTTTTTTTTTGAAAAGAAAAAAAATATTGTTCCATGAATGAGATTCTACATTATGTTCAATCAAAATTTAAAAATATTTGAATGTTAAAACTACAAACATGCGACACAAAGCACATCAAACCTCAAAATTTATTACAATAACAGCAAGTAACAGTAACAATGGTCATTGATATAGTTGACGCTCAGAAAATGAAAATCAGAATATTGAAATTGACAAATGTTTTATAATTAACACGAGTTTTTGTCATAACGTATTACTTTGTTGAGGAGAATTACAGAGCATAATTGACGAAAATTTTATTTTCCTGTAGATCTGGGACGTTTTCCTCTCCAAGATCCAGAGTTGTATATTCCATAGCGCCGTGATCTCGTTCTTTTAGACGCTAAACACAAAAACATGCTTAAATATAAAAATGTTACAACAACCGATGCAATAAATTGATGTAGTTGATTCCAGTTGTGCGATCGACTGATACAATATTTTTCCACAATACTTACTAAAAAGGCTTCGTTTTACAATCACTCTTACGCTGGTTTCATCACTGTCCTCTGCCATTACTTCATATAATCCTTCATGTAAAATCATAAGCATCAGAAAAATAATAATTAGATGTGTCGACTTCATTGTCTCAAAAGTTTTTACTTTTAATTACACTTGCGTTACAGTAAAATACTCCTTAACTGGCTTGGAATCTTATGTTTGGCGTTATGAGTAATTTCAAAACATTTTTTTCTTATAGGGGAATCCTGAAATAAACAAATTACAGAACTGCAATTAGCCGAATAAGGCCCCAGGTAATAATATACCGGATTTGGTTTGCGTGCCTTACCTATTCTGCACATAAGTAAGTCTGGGTTTTACCTTTTTTTTTCAAAAAGTTCATATTTTGATTATCCACTATAACAGACATTTAAGTAGAAAATTTGATTAATTTAGAGCATAATTGTCAATCTTTTTTTAATTTTATTTAATCCATGTCTACTGCAAGTATTTCTTCTTCTTTTATTGTTTTTGTAATAAGCCATTATCTTGTAATTCTTTTTGTACTTGGTCATTTAAGGGTTATTTTAAACAGTTATAACACTAATTTTGAACTCACAATATATCTATCATAGTATTGAATTGAAAAATATTTTGAAGAAAGCTGTTTGGGTCTTTGGGAAATGATTTATTAGATCTTGCTAGAAATTCTTTTAAGTAATAAATTCTTTTTTTTTTCTTTCAAGTTATCGAATTTTAGGTAAGGTCCTGTCGTTACTACATGACATGACTTCCTCGATTTAATTTTTTATGTCAATGTATACTTCTACTTTGAGCAAACGGCATAGAAATTATGCTTATTTAAGAAACAAATTTCATTTTTGAAGATTCATGAGATAAAGGACTACTACACTTCACGCTAGCATATTTCATGAAGAGCGTTAACGTGAGTTCTTTTGGCCACAGATGAAAAAACATCAAATATTGTCGAACTTTTAGTAAACTTGATACCCTGTGTTACGGAGATAACAAACAATATTCAAGCTCTAGAGTCCACTGAAACTATACACAATGAATGATATGGAGATAACGAACAGTATTCAATCTCAAGAAAAGGAGTAGAGCTAACAAGGACCTCTAAAACATCAAAGGTGGGATCAGATGTCATGGAGGAGTGAACATCCCTGCCAAATGGTCACATTAGTCGTGCGCTCCTTGTCATGGTCCGGTTATAACAGGAAAATCCGTTGTCAATTCAGTGCATAAATAATGGACTAACAATTAGTACGAAAAATTTGACTCATCAATGATACATTTTATTTGCTGACGAGGTCATTGTATCGACCATAGAACCAACGAAATGATGACTTTAAACGAAGCTGTTGAAATTCTTGTTTCATCAACTTCCATGTCAATTATTTTCCTCGTTTTAGAAATTGTTCATACGTAGAGCATGATTTTGCATATCGAATCAACTGAGATATATAAACTCCAGAAGAAGAAGTATTGTATCGACCATAAAACGTACAAAAAAGACTTTATATTTGTCTGTTTATATTCTTTTACCAGCATGTTTGTCAAAAACAACAGAGAAATTGCACAAACATAGAGAATGCCCTTGTGTATTGAATCAAGTGAAAGTATAAAAGTGTATACAAATTAAAGGGCATATTGCTGCATGAGTAAGGGAAGCTGGTAATTGAATTCTAAGTCGTCTCGTATATCATTAAGCTTTGTTGTGAGTTTGCCGTTTGCGTCTTTTAGTAAAATACCGGTATGCAAATATGAAACATATGTGTCAGACTCTTTGGTATCTCTTATTTTAGGCTGATTCAGATATATCGTATCGACTATGAATGGAAATAACTATTGAAAATTTATAATACGTTGTCTGAAGATATTTAAAAGTCAGGTTGAGAGCAAGTGCTTTTCTTCTATATCAGATCGATTATTTGTACTTCAATTGAATACACACTTGTATTTGCTATAACGGGGCGCAATTTTTACTCATAGACATTCCAACGGGTTTATCATCATCATGTATAATTTATTCCGTTTAGAGTTTGTAAGAAAACAATTCTTTGAAATCAATCATCAATATACATTTGACGAATAATTGAAAATTAAGTGCAATTATATTGTTTTCGATATCAAACTTACGTATAAAAATGTCCTTTTCAATTATTTTGTGAGCTTTTACATCACAATTTGCAGATATTTCAAGAAATCAAGGTATTGACAACATTAATTGAAATAATATGATAGAATAAAATATTTATTGTTTATGTCTAACATTGCAGAAATCATACTGTTATTTCTACCAAAGTGGAGTATAGGATAAGATTTGAAGCCCTTTAACAGTATTTAAAGACATGTGTAAAAAGTTTTTGAGAGGGACGGAAAAACATTCAATCAATCGGCTCGGTTTTTCTTCCTGTATTCGACTAGTGTTAAAGAAATATAAACAATAAAGAAAGATAATTAGGGGGAAAATACATGTGTAACGTCGTCATTGTTTCGTATTAGGAAACAGTAGCCGGTGTTTTTCAAAATGAGAAAACTTTTGATTACATGAGAGCTAATGATGTGAATTAGAGTTATTTTCTATGAATGTAGGGTTTACAGCAGGACAAAAATAAGATCTTAAATAAGTAATAAATGCTCCAGTTTAATTGTTACATTGGCAAATTCACTTGTCGTAAGGGAATCTATATTTTCACCTGAAACTGATTCAAATGCTTGCGCGTTTGAAAAATAAAATACAATATCTTTACAAACTTTTCCACGTAATTTTATTTTATTCAATGACCAAACATGCAAATCTGAATCCTGCCACATCATTCAGAAACAAGCATTTTCTTGTCAAATAAAAATCTGCGATGTATTATAAAGTACACAGATTTTTTTCCCCGGGGAGATATGATATTTCTTAATGACACTGGGTCAGATAGTCGGATACTATATAATCCTTATCAGAATATAGGGCTCGAATATGAACTTCGGAATCCCCCTTAACATTATGAACAGAACAAATCATCATTTTGATCTTCTTTTTTTAATGACACCAATTTCAGCAAGTATCATCAATTATATGATCATTGATCCTCGCCGTTGAAAATTTTCCAGATAAAATTAACATTTTTCAAATATGTAATTCTTGGTTTAACAATAGATTTCATATCTTCGAACTTTTATACAATCAAATCTAATGTAAGAGAAATTTCAGATATCTTGTGATTTCTAAGACTTACTACAGATTACATGTTTTTTGTAAGATTTTATATTGTGCCAAAATGGGATTCTACGATTCTTCAATTAAAAACAGCGTATGCTTTTATCATATTATTTTCATTTAACAACATTTTCATGCTCAAATATGGAAGAAACATCTTACAAATAAATTAAATGGTTAAAACATATCAAAAATAGATATTTCATTCTAAAACTCAAAATCATTTTATTAGTTAAAATAATATCATGTGACACAAGCAGGACTTTTTTGAACAGTTCAACACTAACAATGAATTGACAAGGCCATTTATTAAGATAACTCTCAAAACAAGAAAATTTGAATATTGAAATTCAGTAAATGTATGCAATTCACACGCCACATTTCAAAGCAAAGAATTACTTTATTGAGAATAATTGGCAGATTATTTATTAGCGTGAGATATATTTTCCTATTAACCAGGATGATTTCTTCTCTTGCAATCTACTGATATTATATTATCTCACAATACTTACAAATCGGACTTCGTTTCATAATCACTCCTAGGCTTTTTCCGTTACTGCCCTCTGCCATTAGTTTATATAATCTTACATGTAAAATCATAAGCTGTACAAAAATAATAATTAGGCTTGTCGACGTCATTCTTCTAACAGTTTTTACTTTTAATCACACTTTCGTAACAGTAAATATCCTTTGCTGCCTTGCAATCTGATGTTTGGCAATATATGTATATTTAAATAGTTTATTCCTTATAAGAGCATGTTCAATAAACAAATAATATAAATGTAATTGACCACAGAAGGCCACAGGTAATAACATACCGGATTAGGTTACCATGCCTTTCCTACTCTGCATATAAATACCGGTTGTTGATTTATTTAAAAAAAGAATTATTTTTTTTAATTTCGAAAATGCTCATGAGAAATGTAAAAATGTCAGATTAATAACATCAACATGCAATTTAGTAGAGAATTCGATTTTTCAGAGCATAATTGTCAACATATTTCGTACACGTTGATTTTTTTTTCGTAATGTCACTATTATGTTGTTTGTATGTATGTAAATTTACTCACCAAAATCTTGATAAAATAAATAACAAACTTTGAAACAACGTCCGTCCTCCAAGGATGTAGATGGGAGAAAAGGCAGAGTAACGCACCGCATGGTCAGAATTTCATTTGTTAGATTTTAATTGGTCAGATTTTGATTGGTCAATCTCTGCCTCTCCTACCACGGTAAGACATGGAACAAAATTAACATTACAAAGCACAGCTATACAGTATTTCAGACTTTCACATTCAAGGAGGACACTTATTGATTACAATAAAAATTTTTAAGTAAACTTAAATTTATTTATTTTAATGCAATAAGTGTTTTGATACCCCGGTTACCCATCAACTGGTTAATTTCTTTCCATAATCCTTTCAAAGCTAGAACACCTTATCTTATCCTCCTTCAATGAGTAAAAAGTCTGTAAAACAGTTTGTCGTGTGTTGCCACCTTTGTGACGTTTAATAATTTGTTTGAAATTCTCAAAAGTATTATCAATAATGACATATAATTTTTAGCAGACACAAGATATCAAGATGAGAAATAAAACCAATTTTGTAAAGGGAGATAATCCAAATTTAACGAATCACTATGTAGAATGTCCGATAAGGGATAAACATATGCCCTTATAGTCGCAATTCATCATCTTATTCGCTGTTTTTTACTAAGTTCACATGTATGTGGTATTCATTTAAGAACTGTCTCGAGCAATGTTTTAGATGAGGGATAGACATATGCCCCCATATTGGAAAATATTTCACACTGTAAGCTTCCGCACCATTTTAAATGTTTATATGCACGCGATCTTGTCACCTACCAGCCTAAGTATTAACAAATGACTTAGGCACTATTGTTCTGGATGAGGGATAAACATATGCCCCCATACGTTAATACTCTTGAAAATCACTTCAAAGTCGAGATCCTACACAAATAACAAAACAAATCTGCTCCGAGGATCCACTTCCACTCAAGCATATATCAACATGGTGTCACATGTCTTATGTAATAT